CTATTCTTACCATGCATAATTTAAAATGGAGAGATGGCTCAGCAGTTAAGAGCACTGGCTGTTCTTGCAGAGGACCTGGGTTCAGTTGTTAGCACCCACATGGCAGCTAACAACCATCTCTGTAACTCCAGTTGTAGGAGATCCGATACCCTCTTCTGCCTCTGCAGGCATTGCACACACAGGTACACTTACATACATGCAGGTAAAACATTCATACACATAATAAAAAGCTGGGCATGGTGGTGCATGCCTTTAATCCCAACACCCTAGAGGCAGAGGCAGGTGCATCTAAGTTCAAGGCCAGCCTGGTATACATAGTGAGTTAGAGGCCAGGGATACCCTGCCTCAAAAAGACCAAAGAAAAAAACAAATAAAAAGAAAATGTAAGTGAATGAATGTCCAGGGGTGATTTTTGGAATACATTACTAAGAGGAGCTGTGGCCTCTGCCTCTCAGGCCTTATTAATATGTTAACTAATTAAAGTACTGATTTTTCATCTTCCTTCCTGATAACACAGTTTGGGTCTGATGTTTTCAAGTGTTAATTCTAAAAACTAGGCCAAAAATATTCTCATTACAGGATTTATAAGAGATAAAATGAAGCCGGACGTGGTGGTGCACATACCTTTGGTCTGTTTATGATCAGTAACGCTATTTTCAAAATTTTCGTAAAGCGTATTTCAAAATGTAAATTTAAGTGATTTTCTATGGTCAAAGTTTAATGTACCAATGTAAAACTAGAGCCTAATTCTTGTGCCTAAAGCAACAAAGCTTTCTTTTTATTTTTAAAAATATTTTATTTATTAATTTTATGTGTATGAATATAATTGCCTGCATGTATATAAGTACACTCATGTTGAGCAATGCCCTTGGAGGTCAGAAGAGGGTATCAGATTCCCTAGAACTGGAGTTAGGGATGGTTGTTAGCTGCCATGTAGGTGCTGGAAACCTAACCCAGGTCCTCTGTAAGAGCCAGTGCTCTTAACCACTGAGCCAGCTCTCCAGGCCCAACAAAGCTTTGTACATTATCTACACTTAGTAATATTTGCAAAGAACTGACTTTTGATTTTATGTTTTGCTTTTTAAAATTGCTTATGTTTTCTGTTGATTTTGTCAGGCTTTTGATTAACAAAGCCAAGGTCTCCTTGATCATTTCTCAGTTCTTCTTCTATAAAATGTTCCAAAGACATCTTTATTGTTTGGACTTTAAGAACCTACTAACTCCAAGAAACCCAGGCTAAAGAAAGAGGGCTCTAAAGAGGCAATACTTTCCACTGCTGTGGGAAACCAGGGCACCAGACAAGAACCGCCTCAATAAGGTTCTAAGAAACAGGGCCTTGCTTGTCTACAAAGAGAGAAACCACTGTAAGGGAAGATGTCACACTCTCTAAATGAAGGATGGGCCTTCAACCCTAGTGATGGCTGCCCTTGAAGACTGATGCTGCCAAAGATTCCCTAGTAAGAGCCCCAACTCAGGCAACTGCAAACAACCATCAAGACCTCTTAACTAAACAAACCTGTGGAGTACGCAATGTTGATGGAAATGCCCAAAAGCCAAAGGGTTTATTGTCATCAGCCCAGGCCTTGGGAATTACCCATGCATGGCCTGATGACAAGGCATGAACACTGGCAGTCCTCACCCAAAGGTTAGGGGACATTCCTAGACCTGAGAGCAACTTCTGCAGCTACTCTGCAACATGTGAATACCTAGGATGGTAAACAGACACTAAAACAGGGTTGATATATGAACTCTGTCAAGGATTTGAATATTTTCTGACATGTACTGACACTTCAGGGTAAATGGTAGCATTCCCTACCCAGAATAAAATAAAACTTAAAAAGTTTATTCTCTAGAATAAAACTTCTCCCCTCTGAGTTTCCAAAGCCTCAAGCACATCCAATAGACAAGGCCATTTGTACCTGTAAACACTCAAAAGACTTAGAAATTCTCTTTGAACAAACAAGGATGTCTTCTTAAATACAAATTTAAGTCCTATTTATAAATATGTCAGTAGCTGCAGCCTGATTTAGGTGTTTGTTTTTTTTTTTCAAATTCTTTGGCACTATTGGTATAATATCAATGGTTACAACCTCATACTATTTTCCTTTTAATTATTCCAACACTGCATTCTTTCTTAAAATCATTCTTTCGTGTTTTGTCACATTGTCAATACATACCCAAGGGATCTCACCCCTGAGAACAAGCTACATAAGAATTGCTCTCCAGGGTCAATTAATGACCGTGGCTTTCCTGGCTCTTGTCATTTTAGGGACCACTGGGTGGTGTGAACATATTACTCTTGTTTGGACTTGTATTTTTTTAAAACATTTTATTTATTATTTTTATTTTATGTGTTGGGAGATCTCTGTTATGCAAAGTCGAAGCCCCTTCACACCGGACAGCTCATGCAGCTCGGGTTA